ATATAAATGTGAAGAAGTCTTTGAGTAGAGCAAGTTTGTTATGTATTTACATAGCTGTTGTTGTAGGCTCTGACTGAGAAACTGGCAAACAAACACAATGGTGGTGGATGTTGCTGGGTTAGCTGCCATCTGGAGCCAGGCACAACTACGTGGGCAAAGCGTTTCTCTGGTTGCCTGGCTGGCAGCTATCCTGCAGCAGCACATCTTGCTTGTGTTGCTTCAGGCTCTGATCAGGTGCCACTGGATCAGTCATAAAGGGACGGTGGCATTGCCTCCAAAGTGAGCTGTGTGTGAAGTGTCATCCTTGTCAGTCTCTTATTCCTTGTGCTGTGCTTGTTCTACAGATCACCCAGGCTTCCACTACAGCCCTGAGGGAGAAATTAAATCTTCATACCAGCCGAAGGAAGGCACTGCTCCTAACAGAGTCAGAAGGAAATCAGGTGAATAAACTCTTTTACTACCTAGATGACAAAAGGAGAAACAATCAGAGTTGTTTAGGGATGGATGAGACCAGGCATGTGGAATTGGTTTTTAATCTGCAATCTGTGCAGGTTTAACATGGCACACGACCTCTCAGATGTGGGTGAAGAATCTTATTAACCATTTGTTGTTTGTGTGTTTTATTTTTTTAGCCACTGTTTGCATTTAATGTCATGACTATGCATTCATAATAGTAAATGCAAAAAGAACAGTTGGTACTTTCTAATGGATAAAAGAATGCATATGCAGGAAAGCCAGTCACATTATTTAAATCTGATGTTCTCCCCTCCCTGCAGGAATTATTGTCTCAGAAGTGGTTTCATCCTGATCATGATAGGCTTGTTATTTCAAAATGTGATTACTATCTTTACTTAGTGTAATGTCTGCCTTATGGATAATAGATATTTGAGAGGTGGTTATGCTGATTTTGGGAGTTTTTTTCCTTCTAGTTCAAACATATATCCAGAATTACTGCTAATTTCCTCTCAAAGACACTACCAATATCTTCATAGTTGAGTGACTTCATATTGCAGCCACTCTGTTCCCCTCTTTGTCTCTTTAATAGACCTTCCAAATTTGGTGAGTAGCATTGTTTATAGGGAATTACTTAAGGCTCACGAGAGTATTGATGTAATGATACAGCGGCATTTGTGTCTGAAAAACAATCAAGTTCTAATTATGTTTCAGGTATCTTCCTTTGTTTCTGACATGTAGGATTGCATTGGCACTTCTCTGCCTATGAAAGGGATAATACAAAATACTGATTAAATGGCCTCTTATGTAATTTTCAGCTACTTACACTTTTTAAGCCCTTCTAAGCTGTTGGTACCTCATACATATTTCTAATAGAAAATCTCCAACAACTCAGAGCAGTAACAGAGATGACCAAGTCTTTTGAAAGCAAGAATCTTAACATGGGATATAAATTTTCATATGGCTTGTTGCATGGAAGACAGCTGCTATTGCATAAAGAAACACATATCTTCTTCGGTAATAGCTGTAGATTTGACACTTCAACAAATAGGTTGGGGGTTTTTTGTGAGGAAATTGGGTGAATAAGAAATGAAATCTGACTTCACTGTGTGTGCTTAGAAGCTTAAATTTTGATATCTGTGTTATAAAAAGTTGGCCAAGATTCCCACAGTTTTCTTTGGAACACTGGAGTGCTTAAACATGTTGTTGTATTTTTCAGAACCCTCATCTAGAGTCCATAAAGTTTTGAAGTCAAATGGTAAGCTACTTTGTCTACTGTTTTTTTGGCCTAGTGCTTCTGTACATTGCAGAGCAAGTAAAGGTGGATTCTTTTTTCTTATAACTGTCCCTAAATACATTGGGGAGAGGAGAAAGAAAAGTGAAAGAAAACAAAATTTTGGTGTTTAAGTCTAAGGTCTGCCTTTCCACACTTGGGGTTTGGTCCTGTAAACATCCTAACAACTGTATTCAGAGAATCTTGACCCTTGTGAACAGTTGCTCATAACTGGGATATTAGTGTAGTATTGAAGTGAGTGTAGACTGATACCAGTTTGATTATTCACTTATGATGTATGTATTTCTGTTTTCAGACGTAAGTCCAGATATGCAGAAGGTAAGCCATTTCTTATTTCTTATTTTAGTACATTCATATGAGCACAATATTTATTGGAAAATCTGCATCTTCTTGGTCGTGTTGACTTGGAGAATGGACCAAAACCATAAATGTTATTTAGCATCTACAATAAGATTACTGGAATGAAAGCAATAGAAACACACCTAACTAATTTCAGGAATATTAAATAAAGAAAAATTACTGATCCATATACTGTTGTGCTTTATAATTACACAGTACCATCAATTATTAGTGCTATAGGTTACTTAAGAGTAGCACTGGAATCAAGAAAGTGCTATATGTAATGATAGTGTTTATCCTCTGCAACTGATTATCTTTGCATTTATTAATGAGGCTGGAAGGTTTCAGCTTACTCTGATATACATATATCTCAGAGTAAATATAAATGATGATATATGACCAAACAGAGCAGATGCAGCTTAAGCACATGGAAATTAGCATTTCTAATTTTTACGTTATCTGTAAGAATTTGTAATTAAATTCCCAGTACAGTTTGAAAGTCTCATGTTGAGCTTCAGGACTTAATGTGTATGTGGAATTTTTATAAACAGGGTACATAAGATATGACTTCACTGTTATGCCACAGCACTGAAGCTCATGATTTGGTGGGCGGGGGGGTTTGCATATGTTTTTCAGTTCTAAATATTATATAGAAAAATACAGATTGTTGCACATATTTCTTTATAAATCTCACTTCAATGCAGCTAACTGAACATTGCCTGTAAGTCTGATATAAAACAGAAAACACAGAATCTCCATAAACTTCTAATCCAAATTTTGTGGTGTGATTTTTTTTTTAAGCGGATTGGTGTTGAAGGAGCCCTATTAACTCAAGCCACCAAACTAGGATCAAGTGAAGCCCTGCTGAATTCTAGGAAAAAAGTTTTGTTGGAAGCCAGTCGGGCGGAGAGCCAATTTCAGCAGTCTATGGAACGAGCCTACAGCAGCGATCAGGACGAAAATCTTCAGACTTCTGCTACAGAACAGATTGATGGTGATGATGAAGAAGAGTCTGAACAGGTAGGACAAAGATGGGAAAAAATAAAATCCTTTTTTCTTGGGGAGGATGGAAGAGGGATTAAAAATAGCTGTAAAATAGCAAGGAGGAAGGAATGTGTTGCGAGTGTTTACTACTTTCTCTTTTTAGAAACATTTTTATTTAGACTTTGCACAATACTCTCTTGCATTTTAACAGAGAACATGTAAAAGTAGCCTATATAAAGAGGGAGAAATTCTCACTTCTGGAATGAGATTTTACTTAGCCCTTTGCAGTCCTCAAGCCCAGTTCTGGCAGAAAGCTATTGCTTTTACCTGTTGCACACAATTGGCTTTTCCTTGCTTCTTCATCTGATGCCTGAAAGAAAGCTTTTTAGGCCACATGCAGAGACAGTGCTTTCAGGTCTCCAAACCAAGGACTTGAATATCAAGTTAAGACTTGGGCACTGTTGCAAGTGATGTGATGTTTCTTGATCTATGAGCTCCTAGCAGTAGCTAGGAACATGTAGACTTTTAACATGAAAAGTTTTGAGTAGGATTTCTGAAAATTAGAGTCTTTATCTGCTACTACTGCACAGATGGTAGTTTTTCCCAATCTGTATGATGTTTCCACGCATATGTAGTACCTCTGAAAGACTAAAACCCCAGCTTTGAAATGTGGCTGTATTAAAGATTCTAGATTTTCAGTTTATTTGGTTTAGTTGATACTGAGGTGATACCCTTGTGTGGTCCATTTATTTTGTGAATTATCCAAAACCAATTACTGAAATTCCTTTTGAAGGTTACTGTGCCTTTCCTCCTTGCAATTATGCTCTTTGCATTACAAATATTTGACAAAATAGTATCTCATATCAGTGTAGTGTAGTGTCTTGTGTTTCTCCCTCTTGCCGACATAAGTACAAAAGAATAAGAAACCACAAAAGAATGCCACCATAAAATTGTATGCTAGTAGATCTAGTATAATACTAGATGTGGCAACAATACTTTCACAGATTGTCTCTTGGAATTAGATCAGAACTGGGGGGAAGGCCAACAAGGCTGACATCTTGGTGGGAGTCTGTTACAGACCACAGATTGGAAGTTGGCAAATGTCATGCCAATCCACAAAAAGAGCTGCAAGGAGCACCCGGGAAACTACAGCCTGTCAGCCTGACCTCAGTGTCTGGCAAAGTCATGGAGCAGATCATCCTAAGTGCAATCACACAGCACCTACAGGATGGACAAGGGATTGGCCCCAGCCAACATGGGTTTAGGAAGGGCAGGTCCTGTCTGACCAACCTGATCTCCTTTCATGATCAGGTGACTCGCCTGGTGGGTGAGGGGAAGGCTGTGC